TTCATAAATTGATTCTTGAAGAACACTAAATAGTGACAAATGTTTTAAGTATTTCCATTAACTGTTATCTATGTTATTTGACTTGCTCTCAAGTTGTCCAGTTGGTCAGATGTAATAGAATTGATAGAGATGCAAGCCAGACCAGTATCCTGGCATTCAAGCTGAGCCTGAGGCTTTTTAGGCCCTTGAGTATATCCTGATCTCTTTACTGTAAAAAAAGCTTCAACAGTGATTACTTAAGAATTCACATTGAGACTGTTGTTGTTTTTTAGAAATTAAGTAGGTCCTTGTTATTAGCAGATCTCTCATATTCATTATTTTCACTATTTACAGCCAGTCCCTCAGGTTCATAATGTGGAGTGATGTATAATTTTACTAAAACATAAATTTGAATCTTGTGTTCCCAGAGAACCAGTCACTTAGTACGTGAGCCCATCTGACCACCTAACTGCGTTTTCACTAATTGTTGTGTAACTTATTATGTAACTTTTGAGTTATACCTGAAATGCATGTTATGGGAAATTTTTTTACTTTAATTCATCATAGTGATATTTGCAAATCTGGACAACTAAAAAGACTTGCCGAGCTGCATGAATATCAATTTCTACCATGTGCCATTTCATCTAATAACATGATATGACCATTTTTTTCTCATATATGAAACCAGAATAGGTTTGTTTAAATTTTTTCAGTGTCTCTTTAGTTTACCATATTTTGCTTTTTAATATGTAAAATCCACTACAATTCAGAGCTTACCTTAAATGGAGAGAAGAAAAAATTATGTAACTGAAATCTTGTTTTGTCGGAATTGTACCTTAAGAGAAGGTTAAGAAGATAAATTTAGAAAATCATAGTTTAGTATTCATTACTGATGATCTTACTTATCCACATATTTGAAGATCATAGATATTGAATATTTGTTAAGTTTTCTATCTAGTATCTTCAGGATATTGTATGATTTATTTACATGAAACAAGAATAGACTTTAGCTCAATAAAAATACTTTTCAAATTTGTTTAAAATCCTTTTATTTAGATTAGAACTAATAAAAAAATGCAAGGAATTTTAAAAATCCTCGTTCTTATTTTCAGGGCTGTGGGTCACAGAGTTTTCGGCAGTCTTTACCAAGACCAGATTTTAGAGAAACTCAGAAAGTCGGCAGAGCACTGTGATAGTTTGCAGTGTTTCTTTATAATACATTCCATGGGAGGAGGTAAAAGTTTTCACTCACTTGCCTGTAACAGTGTTAAAGTATAAGTGGGAATTCATTTTGCAAACATAAGTCTTGTTTTTAGACATGTGCTTGATAAAGATAGAACTATTCGGAGGGTGTATAGTTTGAGTATGTAAACATACACCTTTTTATCTTAAAATTTTGTGGTATTATGTCACTATTTTCTCTCTCTTTTTTTTTTAATGTAAGCCCTCTTAAGAATCAACAGAACTATACTGGAAAATTTTTTTTCTTGTACCTTTAGTTTCTTTTACGGAACATGCAGCTACTTTTCAGGATGTATGAGCTTTTGAGGAATGCTGACTTTCTCCTCAGAGTTTGCCTGTACAGTCCTGTTTCCTAGAGTGAAGCATTTTTGACATGTTCATAAAGTATGCTTGCCAAAGAATATCAATACCCTGTCTTTAACCATCTTCAAGCCTTTCTTGTCTCCAAAAAGAGAAAAAAAAGTAAAAGAAACTAGTTTAGTCAATTCCTTTAGATCGTTTATTACACGGCAGTTAATTGACTTGAACTAAAAATAAATAATCAGCATTGCTTCCTTCCCCCAGGGAAGTCTATACCTTAGAACTGAAGTATTTTGCTCCCCTCTTCTGTAAAAATAGAAACAGAATGTAATTTGCTGATTTTTAAATAGGCTTAGCAAATATTAAAAGAACAAAATTGTCACACTTTTTCCTCCAATCTGAGATTAAGATTTTATATTCAGCAAGTTATGTGTATGTACAGTTGATTTTTATAGATGTTATTCATTGACATAGCATTGTAAAATTAAAAGTTAAAATTACTATGTAACCATGTCTCTAAAAGACCCTCATAATCATTCAGTTAAGAAACAAATTTGTCTTTGTACTAGTATAATTAACCTGCAAATTTGAGTTAGTTTTTTTAATTGATTTATAGTTCATTATATCTTTCTAAAAAATACCTTTATTACCCAACATCTGAGAAGAACATACTTACAATTCACTTAAAATGGCAAAAATAAATATTACTAAAGGTTAAAAGTAAAGTTCTTTTTTCCCACGTCTAATCCCTACTCCCTGTCCTCACAGATGGTCAGGTTTGCGGGGTCTTTTTATGTCTGTTCTTTCAGATATATTCTATGCCTATCAAAGCATGTATGTATATTTTTACATAAACAAGATTATCCAATATATACTATTCTGTAATTTTTCCACTTTATCTCTTCCTGGAACATCTTTCCATATCAGCTCTCTGTCATAGAATCAATTATACAATTTAAAGTGAATTTGTTATTGATGGGTGTTAAGTGTTTATGGTATTTAGTTTTTACATCCCATCATCAGTGAAAGTGTGGGACAAATACTTCTGCATTTGTGCCACTATAGCTTTAGACAGTATTCCTAGGAAGAAGATAGGACCAAAGCATATGTACATTTAAAATTTTGACTGATATTACCTATACACCTTCCTACAATATTGCACCAGTGCTTCTTACTGGCAACAATGTGTATGAGTTTCTATTTCCCTACACTAACACCAACACCGAGTATCATGAGACATAAATCTATTATATGCAAAAGTATATCTAGTTTTAATTAGAAAGGTTGAGCATCTTCTATTTGCAATTTGTATTTCTTTTATTATGAGTTAAATATTTCTATCCTTTGCCCATTTCATGGTGGCATTATTCATATTTTTTGTTGTTGATTTGTGGGAACTTTTTCTTAGAGAAACTTAGTCCTCCATCATATACATTGAAGGGTTTTTTTGTAAGTTTGTCCTGTTATTTTGTTTATGGGTTTTTTAAGTATATATAGAAGTTTTGTTTATTTTTAATGAAATCAAAACTGTCTTTTCTGTAATGGCTCTGGTTTTTTAATGATGCTTAGAAAGTCCTTCTCATTAAAGATCACCCCAAGAATCTCCCTCACTTTGACTTAGTACTTTTAGCATCACAGCCTTTTAATATTTATCTGCATGGATTAGAACATTGGCTTTTAAACTTTTTTTTAACCAGAATGGTATGAAATACATTTTATATATCACAGTGCAGCATACACACATGAAAAAATATATTAAGAAAACATTATTTACTCATACTACATCTGACATGTTATTTTCTACTGTTTCATTTAAGAAAAGAAAACAGTACTAATCTATTCATTAGTTTCATAGCCCGCTAATAGTTCAGAACCCAGTTTGAAAAACACTGGATTAGAGGATTCCAGTTTTAAGTTCTGAAAAATTTCTGAATTTATGTAAGTGTAACTTTATGTATCAGAAAAGTACCTTTAATGAGATTTTCCTAGAGTTTCTGCTTTTAAATAAGTTGTGCTTCATATTTGAAAATTTTTGAAATTCGAGGTAGACATGCTTAATTGTAAACAATTTTAACTGTTTAAATTGCTTGATGACATGATAGTTTTCTTCATCATGAAGATTGTATACACACTACACTAAAGCTGTCAAGTTAGTTTTCTTAAGTTGCTTAATATCAAATGTAGACTGAACACTCTCTTAGTTGAATTTTTTACTTGTGCATGTGCAGTTGGTTCTTGTGGCATTACATAGGTATAACTTAATTATGAAAAGGAGTAAAAGATAGATAGCCCTCCCAAACTCACTGTCAGAGCCAGAGATGGAATTCAGGACTTCATTTCCTGGATGTTGCCTTCATTTCCTGCCAAAATTAGATTAGTTAATATATAATCACAGAAATAAGTTGAAAATTAGTTTTTCAAATATAAAATTCTGGCCAGGTGTGGTGGCCCATGCCTGTAATTCCAGCACTTTGGGAGGCCAAGGCAGAAGCTTGCTTGAACCTAGGCATTCAAGACCAGCCTGGGCAACATAGGTAGACCCTGTCTCTACACAAATTAAAAAGTTAGCCAGGCCTGGTGGCGCATGCCTGCGGTCCCAGATGCTTGGGAGGCCGAGGCAGGAGGATCGTTTGACCCTAGGAGATCAGGGCCACATTGAGCCGTGATTACGCTGCTGCACTCCGGCCTGGGTGACAGAGCAAGACCCTGTCTCAAAAAAAATAAAGTGTCAAATTCCTCACAATTATATCCTGAATCATTTATGCTAATTTTTAAAAATATTTTAATCCTCAGGAACAGGATCTGGACTTGGCACATTTCTTCTAAAGATGCTTGAAGACGAATTCCCAGAAGTATGCAGATTTGTGACTTCCATTTATCCTTCTGGTGAGGATGATGTCATAACCTCACCTTATAATAGCATCTTGGCAATGAAGGAACTTAATGAGCATGCAGACTGTGTGTTGCCCATTGACAATCAAGTAAGAAATGACATTGGAACTTACGGATGAATGTTATGTATATTCAGTCTTGTATTATGTTTATGTGTTTATATTAAACATTCTCTTCACTTTTCAGCCTTCTTAGAGAAAAAATCAGTTTACATTGTTTTTCTTTCTCTTTCCTAGTAGAATATCATCTATATCCACTCTTCTTAATAGCTTCTCTCCTGATGTTTTTCCCTCAAAAGTCTTTATTTGACATCATTAGCAAAATCGACCTCATGGTGAATTCTGGAAAGTTGGGTACAACTGTGAAGCCAAAGAGTCTGGTTACTTCAAGTTCTGGGGCTTTAAAAACGCGGCATAAGAAGCCCTTTGATGCAATGAATAACATTGTGGCAAATTTGCTGCTCAACCTAACGAGGTAATTCTATCCAGGGATAGTCGAAAAACTTTATTGTGCTTTTGGTGATATTTTGAATTTTTGTAGTATCATTTTTTAGTTATTCTAAATTGTAGAAGCTGCTTCTGTTTTTATTTTGTGTTCTATCTTCTTTTCTTGGAGTGATCAAGCATAATTTTAATTTCTGTGACTCCAAAGCAGCATTTCCCCAGGTATATTCCATGGAATATTAATAGGTATCATATGATGTAAAAGATTTTGTGGTTGACACACTTGCGAAACACGTAGACAAAATTAAATATTTTTTAGCTGTGGAATGTCTTAATCATTTAAACCAACTAATCTGTACCTCCTCATTAGCTGGACCAAAAGATTTCTGTGGCTTTTTGGTATCAGAGATTGCTTTGACATTATTATATTCTAGATTATAGAATATATTAAGCAGATTCTTGAGGAATTTAGTTGTTTCTACAGTTCCTAATTATTGACCTATATGTGTTTAACTCAAATATAAAGTTTGTTTTAAATAGGATATTTTTATATGTGTAATAAGCAACTGTAATAGTATATTGGTTACACTTCAGATAATCCAGAAACAGGAATTACTGTAGGGCCAGGCATGGTGGCTCATGCCTGTAATCTCACCACCTTGGGAAGCCAAGGCAGGTAGATTGCTTGAGCCCAGGAGCTGGAGATCAGCCTGGGGCACATGGTGAAATCCCATCTCTACAAAAAATAAAAAATTAGCCAGGCATGGTGCTGTACACCTACTGTAGTCTCAGCTGCTCAGGAGGCTGAGCTGGGAGGCGGCGGTTGCAGTAAGCTGAGATCACACCACTACACTCCAGCCTGGGCAACCAGAGTGAGACCCTGTCTCCAAAAAAAAAAAAAAAAAAAAAATTTAGATGTTGTGTGTTATGTTTTATTTTATACATCATTGTTCTGATACTAAATTTCACTAATAACGGAAGAAAAGCATGTGTTCTACACTGAAAAACAGTGTGCAAAAGAATTTGAGAAACTACCTGCTGAGTAAATCGAGCTACATTTAAAAGTGTGTAATTTTAAAATTAAACATTTTCTCATCATTTTAATCTTAACTTTTTAGCTCTGCAAGATTTGAAGGATCCCTTAATATGGACCTTAATGAAATCAGCATGAATTTAGTTCCTTTTCCTCAACTTCATTATCTCGTGTCAAGCCTAACACCTCTGTATACACTTACAGATGTTAACATTCCTCCTAGAAGGTAAGGTGTAACTGTTTCAATTTTTTGAGGCTTCAAAAAATTTACTTTAAAAAACATTTTTAAGAGAAAAAAGTTTGCAATAACTCTAGTTATTTAATTGTATCATCTTATCTGTGAGAAGTATATAAAATACAGTTGATGACAGCCATTTTTCCGTTAAATGAATGCATCTTTATTTAGAATTAATTGTTGAAAAATGTCAGTATTAAACTATTTGAACTTTAATAATTACATGTGTAGGCTTATGAAAAGTCCTTTGAAGTCTGACAAACACATTTGAATCCTGATTGTCACTAGCTACAGGACCTTGGGCAAGTGACTTAAACTTTCTTAGTTTTTCTCATCTGTAAAAATGAAATAGTACCTACCTCATATACTTACTGGGTAGATTAAATGAGTTTGTTTTAAAGCTACTATCACAGCCCAGTACCATAGACGAATTTCAGATGTAACTTTGTCTGTTTTCCAGAACACCTTGCTTTGTAACTGTGTGTCATTGTTAAGCATAAAGATTACATCAGTATACTTAACCAAAAATGTAGTTTTGAAAGATACTCTTAGCATGTATACTGACGATGAGCTTGAGAAGTTCACAGTGGCATTCACAGTTGACTGAGGGCAAAGGTCCTGCCAAACTCTGTAAGGGGATAGTATGTAAATAAGAAAGGAAAAACTAAATTGGCTGAGTGCCGTGGCTCACACCTGTAATCCCAACATTTTGAAAGGATGAAATGGGGGGATCACTTGAGCCCAGGAGTTCAAGACCAGCCAGGGCAACATAGTGAGACCCTATCTGCACTTGTAGTCCCAGCTACTCTGGAGACTGAAGTGGGAGGATCACTTGAACCCAGGAGTTTGAGGCTGCATTGAGCTATGATTTTGACCCTGCACCCCAGCCTGGACAACAAAGCAAGACCCTGTCTCTAAAACAGATTGAAAATAATGTTTAAAAAGTTTTTAAAGAAAACTAAATTAAAGATTCCTTTTTATAATTAAAGTTTTGACAAGATAATTCTATACTTTAGGAATGTCGCAAGTGATATTGGTAAGTTTTCATCTAAGCCAACAGCAAATGACCATTTGCCAACTAATAGATAGGACTCCCTTTCTGCATGGGATGCTGGTGACCTTAACAAGCTAAGCATCATACCCAGTGTGTGCAACATGGTGATTATTAAATGTCCATTGGCATCAGCCTAGCATTGGAGTCTGTGTATTGTTAGATATAAACTTTGTCAGTCACCTTTATTTTCGTCTTTTATCTTTCAGTTAAAAGACTTAGGTTAAAAGTCTGCTTTTAGGAGCACTACTATGGAGTTTCATCTTTTATAGGAGAGCTTCACATTGTCCTTTGATAATTTCCTCCTGTTAACTAATTTATGATATAATATACTTTACAAAGTAATAGTCTTAATGTTACAGGCTTTTAATTAGTTTTAGTAGTTTGGATACTATGAAATAAATAAGGTATACTGAACTAAGTAATAATGATACAAATTTCAAAAATCAGTACTATATAGAGTTCAGTAATACTACAGTCAACATTTTGTAGCTACCTGAAATCACCAATATACTGCAGAAGCTTTTTCCTCCCAGAAAAAGAAAATATTACATGATTTCTTCTCTTTTCATATCATCAAGATTGCTTCAAGAAAATTATAGTTATTTAATGTTTTTAGAATACATGTAATCTAATATTTTGTTAGTGTAATATTTAGTGTGGTATATTTACTTATAGAGGACTATCTTCATTTTAGTTATACCTAGAAGAAAAAGGTAATATTTTGTATAAACAATGACACTTTCACTGTTGCAGATTGGATCAGATGTTTTCAGATGCCTTTAGTAAAGACCACCAGCTGCTTCGGGCGGACCCCAAACACAGTCTTTACCTTGCCTGTGCGCTCATGGTTAGAGGAAATGTACAAATTTCAGATGTTCGTAGAAATATTGAAAGGTTTGGTTCCTATTTTTAAAGATAATTTGTGTGGGCTGCTTGGGACAGTGTGGCATAGTAGTTAGTTAACAGCTGCCCTTCAAATTCTAACAATGCCACTTACTAAAGTGTGACCTTGAACAAACTACTTAGTCTCTTTGTGCCTTGTTTTCTTCAAGTGTAAAATAAGGATAATAATAGTACATAGTTTTTATTTAGGAGTATTAAATGATATATGACATGTTTTATGAAAGTGTTCAGAAAATCATAGCTATACTATTTTTATTACCAGTACCACCAGTACTACTACTACTACTACTACTTCTGATTTTTGTGTTACTATTTCATTCTATTTATAAGAAAACTAGTCTGTTGAATTACAAAGTAAGGAAAATGATAGTACCTTTATTTGTTTATATCCCTAAATTTCTCCTCTTGAGGAATGAGTTTCTAGCTTCTTGAATCACCATCACAGCCAACTTAATGTTCCCCTACAAAATGTCTCTTAGTTCACTGTCCGACTGTACCATGTTATTGCCAATGGTAAAAAATAGATAACTTAGCATCTAAACTAAGCAATTAGAACGATACCATCCATAATGTTCTGGTTTAACTAATATGAGCACTGCCATAATATGGCAGACATTTTTAGTAACTTAGTTCTTACCTTTGAGATTTTTTTTTTAAATCTCAGATTAAAACCATCTCTACAATTTGTCTCCTGGAATCAAGAAGGCTGGAAGACCAGCCTGTGTTCCATACCTCCTGTGGGCCATTCTCATTCTTTATTAGCTTTAGCAAATAACACATGTGTGAAGCCCACCTTCATGGAACTGAAGGAGAGATTCATGAGGCTCTACAAGAAAAAGGTAATTATCGTACAGCTTTGTAACTATATGTGTTTATTTTGGCTATTTAAGATGTATTCTTAAAAATTACACTATTACAAATCAGAGGTGATCTTTTCTATATGTGTTGTACTGATTATAACTGAAGAGGAGAGGCTTGCTCATACTACTTTTACTCTAAATGAGAACATTCATGAGTTTATGGGATTCATTCAATTTGACACAAGTTCTCTTTCAAGTGTAGAGCTGAACTCTAATTTTAATAAGGAATATTTACCTTTTAGGATAGTCATATGTATTAAAGTTCCTGAAATAGTAAACGTTACCTAATTTTTTAATTTATAGGCTCACCTTCATCACTATCTACAAGTTGAAGGGATGGAAGAAAGCTGTTTCACAGAAGCTGTGTCATCTTTATCAGCACTCATACAGGAATATAACCAACTGGATGCCACAAAAAACATGCCTGTGCAAGATTTACCCAGACTAAGCATAGCTATGTAAAAAAGAAACCCTCAAAAATACTTTCTTAATTTCACATTGTTTTTTCTGACCTTTCTGTTTCAATATTTTTGTAATTTGGAAACCAGTTTTTTCATATTAGGAAATATTTTTGTCTAAAAGAGTGATTTCTGTTTAATCACAATTTGTTGGTAATACCAATGTGTGAAATTAATGAAATCTTAGTACCTTAACTTCAAACATTTCTCTTCAGAAAAGTTCCCTTTTCTAAAATTGAGAGAACAGAGTTCTTCAATATTTTGCTGTATTTATAGCCTCATATTTAGGCATTTATGCACTGATAATCATATCTTCAATTAAAATCTTGTATAGATATATTTGTATAATTATTTATAATTTATATTTTGATATTCTATTTAAGTTATCCTGATTCTTTAAATGTAGTTCCTGGGAGTAGAAGAACACAGTATAAATATTTCCATGTAATATCCACTAAATTTTCAGGCATAGGTTTTATTACAACTGTTAAGGAGGTTTTGCTGCTTCTTTAGATAACAATTTGTTTGCTCAAAAGAATCCTAATTTGTACACTTTTGTATTAAACTTTTTAAATAATTGCTTTCTTATCAAACCAATTGATTTTATAATAAATGTCCATATTTTTCAACAGTACTACTTGTTATTGTTCTGCATGTCATTTATACAAATGAACAGAATGTTACTAAGCTTGATATCTTCCAAACTTTGCAATAAATGGCTGTAATTGTTCCAGTTACTATAATCTTCAGTTCTAGCCTTAACATTAATTGATTTTTAATAGCAATTTATATTTCAGATCCACAGGTTAATTTTAAGTTTTATTATTTATATTTCTTTCCTTTGCAATGTAATGATACGGTTCTTGGTCTTTGTCTTGGAAATTTAATTTTTTATAATATTCAATATAAAAAATTTTAGATTGCAGTTGTTAACAGTGGCCAGAAAAGTTGCATTTTCTCCTCTCCAAAAGAAACTGATGTTAAAGATCAGGCAATGAGAAGTCTAAATATATTTACAGCTTAATCTTATTACTGTTCAAGAATTAATCTAGAATTTCACTTGCCCTATAATGATTTATCAACTAATGGGCACCCAGGCTACATTGTCAAATATAGATTAAATTTTTTAAATTTAGTATGCTTTTTTCCCCCCCAAAGGAGTCTCGCTCCTCCGTGCCAGTGCAGTGGTGCAATCTCAGCTCACTGCAACCTCCACCACCTGGGTTCAAGCAATTCTTCTGCCTCAGCCTCCCCAGTAGTTGGGATTACAGGCACACGCCACCACACTCAGCTAATTTTTGAATTTTTACATTACAGACAGGGTTTTACCTTGTTGACCAGGCTGGTCTCAAACTCCTGACCTCAAGTGATATGTCTACCTCGGCCTCCCGAAGTGCTGGGATTACAGGCATGAGCCACTGTGCCCAGAGTAAAATTTAGTATGCTTTTTATACATCTTTAGCAAGTATTCCAGATTATTTTGTAAAATATTTTATTGTAAATTGCATATTTTTTCATATACAAAATGCTTAGATGGTATCAAATGTCTGCATATTATATAATTATAGGATATGTTTTAGAAATGAGTTCAATTTTTAACTTTTTCAAATTTTATGTATATTTTTAGGATATCTTTTTTTAAAAGCTTCTAATGCCTTAAATGTAGTGATCTAAGAACAGGCATTCATACTGTTTTAAACAAAGCAGATTTGCCACCATTTTATACTCACTAATTTTTTTATTATATGATAGGGTTGACTAACTTTTCCCCCATTTGCTTTGTTTTACAGAATCTTGAGCTCAGAAAATATATCTCCAGGTTCTCTGCAGTTTCTCTGACATACACAAGATGTAATCCACAGCATCTTCCATTTAAATGACCCCTCATTTGGGCAATCGAATTGAATAGTAATCATTTTAGACTTATTAGGGATACAGCATCTCTTATCCAAGCATATTCCACAAAAAGTGGGTTTGTAACTCTGAGTACTTGAGCATCCAGAAAAGACAAATTTTTCAGCTTTGGAGAGTTGGAAAGTAGGTTGGCATGTTTTTCCTTTGGGGATCTGAAAAGATACATAAAATGAAGTCATTCTTTAAATTTGATTACAATAGTTTAGAAAAACAACATGTAGAATATTTTATAGTACAAATAATTATTTGGAGGCATTAATAAAAGTTGTTATGTAGTGATTTCCAGCACTCTCTTCTCTACCCTTAAGATCCCCTTCTCATCAGAGGTCTGTCCTAACTGTCCTCTCTGTTCTTCCTCCATCATATTATAGCACCTATTCCTCAATGTTTTTTGCTATCTGTTCTTTACTCAATTTTACAATAAATAGAAATTTCTGTTTTGTTTAATATCAAGGGCCATGTCTTATTAAATATTTATCTAAGACTTAGCAAAGTCCATAACACAGCCCAGACAGTTTTCAGTGGATGGGTAGATGAATACTTACCCTAATCTTTCTTTAAAACTGAATTGTCAGCCAGACACAGTGGCTCACGCCTGGAATCCCAGCACTTTGGGAGGCCGAGGCAGGCAGATCACGAGGTCAGGAGATTGAGACCATCCTGGCTAACATGGTGAAACCCCGTCTCTACTAAAAATACAAAAAATTAGCCGGGCGAGGTGGCAGGCGCCTGTAGTCCCAGCTACTCGGGAGGCTGAGGCAGGAGAATAGCATGAACCCAGGAGACGCAGCTTACAGTGAGCTGAGATCATGCCACTGCACTCCAGCCTGGGCAACAGAGCAAGGCTCCGTCTCACAAAAAAAAATAAAAATAAAAATAAAAAAATGGAGTTGTCAACTTGCTAATATGATAGAGAATAACTTTGGGGTGAGAGGATTGTGTAGCATTTCTAAAAATTACCCTTTTTGAGACAGACTTCCTGCCTCGTTCAAGAAGTCAGACCAGCTCTAGTTATACCAAACAATCTTAGGGTAAATATTTTATTGTAGTGTTTTAGCAAGTTTACTATGTAAGCATAGAGCATTTTGGAAATGGTGTGGCTTCCTTCCAAGTTAGTGATATATAACTAAGATCAGGACTTCTGTAATGTTCATAGTATCTGTTTTCATAATTATAGTATAGCAACCAAAATCTTTTATTCATTAACATAGAAAAAACAAGTTAGAATCTGCTCTGGTTGGTAAAATTTTCCCCACAACGTGCAGTTATTACCTGTTTTCCTCTGAAATAGTTTGACTTTAAGCATTATAATGAGATGGTTTTATTTTTCTAAGAACTAAACACCATCCCTCCCTCCAAAACACACACATGCTTACTTTTCAGGAATCTCTTAATATTGAATTAAGTTAAATATATTTAAACTTTACCTTTATTGTCTTTAGTATATTGCTGTCACAAGGCTGAATGTAACACAGTCTTTTCTCTTTTCTCATTTCACAGTTGCTGTTTTCATTGGTCACCCTATTAGATATTCCCATCCCACATGTTCTGGAGCAGGGAGTCCACTTTGTTGCTTGCACAAGACATTTTTTTTTCCAAATAAGTGGGAGATTTCTATAAGCTAAAACGGAGAAAAGTACATATGTATACATATAAATGTACTTGTATAAATAGATAATTTTTAACCATGTTTAAGCTAATGTTTAAGAAATCTGAATATTTTTGTATAATATAACTCAGAATAAAAGAAGCTGATGGTCTAATTTATCGTTCTATCTCCCTCTTTCCCAACCCCAGAATTAACTTTCAATCAAGTATTACAGTCCAACCTCTTAGGAGGAATAAAAATACTTTATCTTTGAAAAACTGAGAAGATTTACTCATTTGCATTTTTCTGCTTTGCCTATCCTCTGAATCCTAAGCCTAAGCTTATGTTCCTGTTGAGTTGTCTTTTCCCTGGCTCTTGCCTGATCATTTCTAACAGACGTTGAAACAAAAATTAGAGAATTTGAGATATTGATCAGAACAGTGTGATCTTAATGTTAACTTTCGTAATATGTTAAAATCTAAAATACAAAAATTATATTTGAGAATGAGACTATCAGCGAGACCAGATTTCTTCCACTTGTTTTAATCTAGTCTTTTAGAAAACTGTCTAATTAACTAATGCTATACTGAACTAAACTAATAGTTTATATACAAAGTCATTGCAAGTGTATAATTTCATTCATTCAACTTAATTGTCACACTCCCTATGTTCTTAGGCCCAAAGCACTCTCCAATTGGGTAGGATTTCAAATTACTTATGAAAAAACAGAGAATGGATGGATCAATAGATGGGTCAGTGAGTGAGTAGATAGAGCCCCTCCAATGTCTGCTGCTAAAGGGAAATAGAAGGGGAAGAGAGAATATAAGAGGGTATAATAATGCTCCCATTTCCATGTAAGGTCACTGGGAGCTTCTTGTTATAAATGAATCAAGCCCTTGGCTCATTTTAAGCAAACTACATATTGACTTACTGTCTCAAGGCATTTCCTTAAGGTTAATGTGCATCTTGAAATGAATGCTTTGGGAGTACGGTTGTGATTTGAGTCTGCACAGCAAAATTCTGGCTATATTACTTCAAAAAAATCAATTTAAAACTTGAAAAAGACCCAGGGGAAAAAAAAAAAAAAAAAAGGCCTTCTTCATAGGAAATAGTCTCTTTAAAGTCTGTGCTCTATTTTAATTGATACTATGACACTGCTTTCAGTGTTATTACAGTAAAGTCTCTTGCAATTGCACGTAGAACTGAGGAGAGGAAGCAGAAACGTGAAGATACCTGGAAGGTAGACAACAGTTTAAAGACCTCTGAAATAGTTTGCAGGAAGCAGATTAGAAGCTTGGCACACATCTGCAATAAATAAACGCAGGTTAGATTACCGTGTTACCAGTAATCCTACTTGTTAAACCAAGAGCTGTAGTTCAGGAATTTACCATTCATTAAAAAGCAAGAAAACTAGAAGAGATTTTTTTTAAACAAAGCTTAGTGTTTGGTGAGCATTGAAAAAAGCATGAGGGCATTATGTCATTGCATGCTTCATACTGACCTAGCAAAAGCTAGATTCCAACCATAGACTACAAATTACTGTCACAAATGTATCTTAAAGTATGTGTTTTTGTCATTATGGTTCAGTTTAAAAGCCAAATTCCTGTGTGGGCCATAAATATAATTTCACAGTTAAGCAAAGAAGAGACATTAGACTGAACATGTACTTCATTTGAAACACATCTAGCTCTAAATCGCAAATGCTAGAGAACACTCAAAGCGCTAACTACCAAGACTGACTATCTGATGCCTCACCCAACCAAGGTCAAAGTGAATCCACTGAACTGCTCTAACTTCTAAAATGAGACCAACTTGAACTTGATCCAAAGGACTCCACTCGTGGAAAACTGCTCTAAGGTAGTCTTTCCAGGGAAGTTTATGCATGGGTTCTAAGAGCCTTATATTGAATCACTAAAATCCAACGCAGAAAACTAACTGTTCTGTACATTTTGAAAAAAAAATAATAAGGATAGGGCTTATGGCCGGGCGCGGTGGCTCAAGCCTGTAATCCCAGCACTTTGGGAGGCCGAGACGGGCGGATCACGAGGTCAGGAGATCCAGACCATCCTGGCTAACACGGTGAAACCCCGTCTCTACTAAAAAATACAAAAAACTAGCCGGGCGTGGTGGCGGGCGCCTGTGGTCCCAGCTACTGGGGAGGCTGAGGCAGGAGAATGGCGTAAACCCGGGAGGCGGAGCTTGCAGTGAGCTGAGATCCGGCCACTTCACTCCAGCCTGGGTGACAGA